GTAGGAAATGTCCAGCAGAGGGGGAGTGGGTGGCTTTCAACCTCAGAGATTGATGAAGGGCCTCAGGGTGTGTGTAGAGGGCTCCTGGTCACCCCTAATCTGAGGAGAGCTTTATTAATGCAAACATGGAGGGGCTGGGGAGGCAGCAACATCTATTGAACTTTGCCCCCCTAAAGAGGGGGAGCTTAGAGCTTTCAAGTCCAGAAAGAACTTAGTCCCAGGCCCAAAGGTGGTTAGCTTTAGGGGTCTCTCTCTCTCTCCCCCTCCACTTGATATCTCTCCAGATATCCACAGTGACCACCGCCATTAGGTAAGGGGAGAGAGTCAATTAGTGAGAGGATTAATTACTCCGAGGCACGAGCCGCGTTTGTCTTCCTTACCGGGTGCGAGTGTGTTCAGAGAAACACGGGCACGCACCCAAATACACATTGTTGTCACGCCGTCTTAGACGTTTTATTTATTTGTTGGATTCCTGCCCAGAGCCGCTCACACGCTTTTCCACCGGCGCTGAGTCTTCCACCAAACACGCCGCCTCCTTTCCTCCCGCCTACGAAGGCGCCAGTCGCACCCCCGCGCCCAGTCCCGCCGGACGCCCCGCAACGCCCGCAGGGTCCTCGGCTCCGCGCCTCTCCCCGCCGCCTTTTTTTGTCGCTGGGTGTCTTTCTGGGTCTCTTTTCCATTTCTTTTTCTCTACTCCTCCACGCATTTCCTCCAACACGTCTTTCCTCCTTTCATCCCCGCGTACTTTCCCTCATTCCTTCTCTTTTTTCCTCTGGTTTTCCGCCCTTACACCCTTTTCCCGTCCCTCTCCCCACACTTCTGATTCTCTGTCTCTCCTGTCTTCTCCAGCTCACCCTCTCCTTTCCGAGGCTGTCCACGTCCTGTCTTTGCTCCGTGGCGCGGCGCTCACTTGCGTCTGAGATCTCCACGCTCGACCTCGCTCCCCCCACCCTCCATGCCCAGGGTTCCTCCAGCCCTCGTGGGAAGCCAGCATTGTTTACCCAGCCCGAGCGCACACCGTGAAGCCCGGCCGGATGCTGCCCCTTCCCGGCCTCGCGGTCCCTCCCCACCCCCACCCCTGACTTGAAAAACGTGGCCGGGGCAAAGTACACAATGGAGCAAGGTGACAAGCCTCCCAAACTTCTCATCTTCAATAGTAGACTGACCCAGGGATCTCTTCCCCCAGGAAAGATCTTGGGTTTCTTCCCCCAGGAAAAAGGAGATAATACCGATCCCCTCCCCCTTACTATGCGATTCAGGGAAGATAGTGATATAAACTGTAAAGTGCTGTACACAAATAGGTGATTTCCAGTAGAAAGTGATGGAGTGAGATTAAGGCAGCCTGAGGCAGGAACGAACGAGAGAGGAAAAGGAGAGAGCAGGAGATCGTATCAGATCCGAAGGACCCGGGCCAAAAGTTTCCTGCGTTGCATCTGCGGCGTCTTCATCGCGTCTCTGCGGAGTTTGCGTGGGCTCCGGGACCCGCAGGGTCCAGGACGCGCAGGCTTCCTCCCTCCTCTTTCTTCCTAGACCCGCGTGGCTGGTTGCGCCCCATACCTGCAGCCCGGCGCAGGTAACCACTAAGAGTCCGCTCCGCTCCAAGCGCCTTCTTTCACGGCCTCATTGCCCTTTTCTGGGGGTCCTAGGCTGAGGGAGAGCGCCGTGGGCAAGGAGGAAAGGGGCCAGGGGCGGTCGCCGCTCTCGGGATCTATAGCAGCTGACTGTGCGGCGAAGGATCGGGTCTTTGGGCTGCGCGAGCCACTCGGAAACGTCGGGTAGCGAGGAGACTTGGGGCTCGGAACCGAGGAGGCGGCGGGAGGACAGGGGATGCAGGAGAGAGCGCCCTCAGCCCCCCAAACTGCAGGGCGGCTGGGGAGGGTTGGCAGAACCCTCTGCATCCCCAGTTTCCCCGGGCAGCGTCCTTCCTCTTGGGCTGATCCTCAAGGCGCTTCTCGGAAGAGAAACCTGTGGTACCGTGAAAGCCGGTTCTTGGGCCCCCTAGGGCTTTTTCCAAGAGTGCCTGGGATGAGGTGGAGAGGATTCTGCGGCCACTGAGCGATGACTCGGCGGCGAAATTGACCCTCACGGCATGCTGTCCAGAATTTACACGACCTGGGGCGGTGTGTGTGGTTGTGGGTCTGTGTGACTTGGAGGGCGTTGGGTAGGGCAGCGCTTGTATACTTCAGGACGCAGGCAGTTAAGTGTGGCCGTGAGGGTGAGGAGGGAAGGTTGGTGCTCTTCGCCAAGCAGATATTGGTTTAAATGCAGAGCTGAACTGAGAGGCTTCAGAGACGGCAAATTTGGAAAGCTGGTCAATTTTCTCTCCATGTCTCTGCGACCAAATGCTTTTTAAAATAAAAGCTCAATGGAAACGAAAAAAAAAAAAAAACCATTAATCTAGTGTGCTGTCCCCGTGGAGGCGTTAAATCTGGACTTTAAACCTAGAACCAGGAGCCAAGAGGCGCGCCTCGAGTTGCGCTCCTGGACCCTCTGGTAGACGCCGGGGTTGGTTCCCGCGGACCTGTTTACTAAGCCATGTGGACACCGGGACAAGCAGAGCCCAATGCCCCAGAGCCCGCGTCCTGTCCTCGCCCTCAATTCCCCTACCGTGCTGACCGTGCTGGTCCGCCCGCAGGGAGGGACCCTCTTTCACCCACGTTGAGATCCCGAGGTCCCTGCACCCCCAAACGGGTGGATCAATCTCCTCCTGCCCACCTGAAAGGAGGCGACGGGCCCTGGGTTCAGGAAAGGCTGGCAGCCGGGTCCAGCTGTCGCCCCGTAGGTCCCCGTCGACTACCCCCACCCCTGCGGCCCCTCTGCTTTGCATGAGAAGGAGCCCAGCTGGGGCGGGGGCGGGGGCGAGCCACTCGGGACTCGGTCCGCTATAGATTCCAGAAAGGGGCGGTTGGATCGAGAGCGCTTGCGGCGAGAACCGAGACAGCTGGGGAGGGGGGGAGTGTGGGGACCGCTCGATTGGACCAGCCCCTCCCCGCCGGCCTCACCCACAGCAGCGGGCTGGGGAGGCGCCTCGGGGTCCGGATGGAGGAGGAGAGGAGCCCGCGCCACGCAGCTCTTGGCGCCTCCACGGGTCCTGGAGTACTGGGTACGGGTCGGCTTTTTCCTGGAAGTGTCGGGACCGCAGGAGGAGCACAAAGCCAAGTCCGATCCCGCCTGATGGGTTGGAAACCGCCCTCCCCATCCCCAGCCCTGCCCTGCGCCCCGGCCTAGGAGAGACCCGCGGAGGGGGCTGGTGCAAGAGAGATAACCAGCCACAACGCCGCCCTCCCTGAAGCGAGCAGCCGGAGCCCAGGTGTAAGTGGAAGGGGTGCAGAGAAGGCGTTAGGGCCCCGCACCCAGAGATCAGGATGGGCGGAGCGCCAAAGAGGCGCACGGCGGCCTCGGCTTCGGCTTCCAATGAAAAGGTGGCGGGCAGTAAGGCGGGGGCTGCCAGCGGGCCTCGAGGTTGCAGGGCGGTGCGGGCGGAAGCTTGGAGGCAGGAAAGGGGCGTTGGCAGAGCCCTAAAACCCCAGTCCCACAAAGCGCAAACCAAATTCGCTGTAGCGTCTTCTGGGTTCGTCCGAACAGGGTACTCCTTTTGCAGACAGTTGGATTCCCTGCTGGCCCAGGTTCTTTGCAATTGCGTTTCAGCGCGCATTTCCCCCAATTTAGCTCCGGGTCCTGTGTGGGATGTCTGAGCCCGGCACCGCGAGTGGGGTCAAAAGGCCAATCCCAAAATACCGGCTAGGCCTGGCTGGCCGCCCATCGTTATTTCCTTCCACACTTGGGCCGAATGCGCCTTCCTAGCATCCCGTCCCCTAAAAAAGAAAAACGAGGAGCAAAAGGGCGACTGCCCAGCCCTGCCATCTTCAGACTTCACTTCGGGAGAAATCCCGGTTAAGCATGGAAATGATGCGTCAAACGGAATTTGGTATTTAACTGGCAGGGGCCAAGGATCTAGAATGACTCTTCGAGGCTAAGGCTCTCAGAGACTCTCCCGGACCCGACCCCCGCGACTGGGATAATCCGCCCCCGTGGGCAGTGGTCCCGAGTTTATACTCCAAGCAGAATTAGGGAGGTATGGCTCCTTGAGGAGTGAACTACCGAGGGTGTGGCCTGAGGGTGTCAGGGGAAGCTGGTGCCAGCGCGGAGCCTGGAAAAGGGGAGGACGAGAAGCCGGGCCCACTCTGCACACCCCAATCCACTGCAGCCTCTCTGTGGAGCCTCCAGGATGGCCCCCTTTCCACAGCCACTACCACTACCCCCCAGCCACCGCTGATGCCCCGCGGTTTCCCGCCTAGTCGCTTGTTTTTGTGTGTAAAAGATGTCTCTGGATCACAGTTTTCTCACAACTTCTCGCCGGGGTTGCAACTCCTCACCCGAGGCGCTTCCCCGCCCCCTCCTTTTCCCCTCCCTGGCGCCGCGCCTCTGGTCTCCCCCGCCCCCACCAGGAAACCTCGGAATCAACTTTCCAAGACCGCGCTGGGAAACAGACACCCAGATCTGCCAGAGACCGGGCCTCCGTGGACTTTGGTTGGATTGAGGGAGGGCACACAGAAGGAGGGACCAGAGGAGGGAGATTCTGCTGCCAAGCGCCATCTCCCAACTACTCCCCCAAGATGTGCGCTGTGCCCGGGGCAAACTGCTAGGCCAAGAAAGCAAGAAGGAGGAAAAAAAAAAAAAGCCAACACCCTCCGAATTGCAAAGTCAAGCAGTGCACCAGGGCCGCCGGGGCTCCCGGACCCAGCTGCACCCCAACCTTCAACAAGGCTCGATCCTGGATTACTCCTACCCTCCAGCAGAACTCTGCCCTCAGCCTGCGCCCTCTCTCAGTCCCTCCCACCGAAACCGACACCTTACCAGAGCAGGAGGGTGCCCGGGCACCTAGCTGCCCGCCGCCCGCACCGCGCCGGGCCGTGGATGTAGCCGCCACTGATCCTCTAAACGCGGTCTCCCGGCACTCTCCCCGGCCGGGGTATGCAGAATGGTTTACAGAGGGACCGAGAGCCGCTGATTGGTCGCAGGCCGCCGTGACGTCGGCGGGCGCTGCATTAAGGCGAGGGGGCTTCCAGAGCTCAGCCAACAGCCAGGAGCAGTGACCGAGCCGCAGGAGCTGGGGAGAGACACGCCGGGGCGGCGGTCTGGGCCAGGAGACCAGGGACAGAGGGACGCTTGTCCGGGGACAGCCAGCAACGAACCGCGGCCCGGGCAGCGACAGCGGCGGCCTGTGCGGAGCTGTTCCAGTCGCACAGAACTGTAGCCGCTGCACTAGGACGTTTTTTGAAAGCTCTCCAATCTACTCCCCCTCCCCCCGACTCCTCCCGCTGCAAAAGGAAAAAAAAAAAAAGGAAGGAAGGAAAGAGGCTAGAAAGGAAACTCAGATTTGCCACCACAACGAAAAAAGAGGGGAAAAGGAAAAGAAAAAGTCGAGCGACTGTGGGGTTGGAAGCAGGCAGCCGGAGCGTGGGCCGAGCGATGCGGGGCTGCGCGCCCAGGCGGCCGCAAGTTGAGACTGGAGCCACGATGCACGGCCAGGCGCGGTGAGGAGCCAGACCTTATCACCTCCCTGAAGGAGTCCAGGCGCAGGGAGGGCCATCCCGAGAACACGGAGGCCGCCAGGCAGGCCACGGGCCGAGGTGACGGGGCTAGGGCGGTGGGGAGCGAGCGAGCGCACCTGGCTGCGTACGCCCGGAGTTGTCCCTCTCCGTTCTCGATCGACACAAACACTTCTCCAAAAGGGGGGAAACCTAAGCAACAACAACAATCAACAACGAGATCTTCCTCCCGCCCTCCCCTCCCTCCCTCCCGCCTCGGCCTGCCCCCTCCCCCTCCCCCAGGCCCACCGCGGGCGCCCAGCTTGTCCCGACCCGCTGCGCGATGCCGGCAGTTTAGGATCCAAAGCTTCTCTACTCGTTTTGTTCTTTTCTTTTATAAAAAGAGGAGGGGAAATCCCGGCGGCAGGCAGCCCGGCACACACACACACTCGCCCTCATACCCCGACAAAAGCAGATGCACTTTGACTTCTGACAGCTCTACCTCAAGCCGGAGAGAACTCAGCGGCGCTTTCCTCGCAACCCGAACTCGCCGCGTCGTCCTCTTCCTTCTTCGTCTCCGTTTTATTTATTTATTTCCGTTCGCGTCGCCGTTCTCGGTGACCTTCAGTCCTCCGCGGGCTCTGGGCAGAAGAGTCGCTTTCTCGCCCGCCTGAGAGTCTTTTCCTCGCCCCAGGAGGTGCGGCGGCGCTGCCGTGCCCCGGGGCCCTGGGACTCCCGGGCTGCACACTCCACCAAGGCGCCCCCCACCCCCCATCAGCCTCGTTTCCCACCTTCTGATTTCCTGGTGCGGGTTTTGGCTTGCACCGCCGAGTGTGTCTCCTCTTTTTGGAGGGGCTGGGGAGCTCGTGCCGGTCGTCTTCGGGAATCATCCCCTCGGCTCTATCTGCTCTTCTCCCTCCGGGCCTCACCTGACCAAACCAAAGACCATGGTGCACTGTGCCGGCTGCAAAAGGCCCATCTTGGACCGCTTCCTCTTGAACGTGCTGGACAGGGCCTGGCATGTCAAGTGCGTCCAGTGCTGTGAATGTAAATGCAACCTGACCGAGAAGTGCTTCTCCCGGGAAGGCAAGCTCTACTGCAAGAACGACTTCTTCCGGTGAGTACTTCCCTCGCGCCCCTCTGCTGCTCCCTCCCCGCGGGCCCTTCCCGGCCGGCTTCGGATCAGAGGTCGGCGTGGCCGCGTTAGGAGCTGCCTTTGGAGAGGGCAGCCAAGTCCCGTGGGCGCCTGCCTCTCCGCCAGCTGGCGCGCTGGACGCCCGGGAGGCGGCCTTGCTCGCATCCTGGAAATTGTGGGTCCGCGCTTCGCTGCACGTGCCTGGGAAGAAAGGGTCTGAGCCCGCCTCAGAGCCAGAAGCCCCTCCAAGCTTGGAGGCGGTAGCGCAGCCTCCGATGTTTTAGCCCGGGCTCCTGTCTTTCCTCGCGCGGAGCTCTCCAGCAACTGCATTTTCTGGGCCTCCCGGGTTGCTCGCCCTCCAGGCTGAGCTTAGAAGCCCAGGCTAGCTCCATGCCACTGCCTTTTCCGTCTCAGAGAGGTCTTGGCGGGAACAACCGAGCCTTTTGTATGGAGTGTCCGAGTTGCGTGCCGTGGCAGCGGCAGGGAAGAGCTCGGCCCTGAAGCCTATCCTGCACGCCCCAGGGTCTTCCCGAAACCCAGATGGGCCTCTCAGCGCCGGCCTGCGCAAACTGCTGCACCGCAGCCTTTGAAGTGCCCCGAGGCTGCAGCCTCCGCGAAGACCTTTCCTCCTGCTTCCCCGGCTGCCCCGGTTGGCAAGAGGTTGGGCCTCAGCGCAACTCTGCCCTCGGCTGTGAGGCGCGGGCTCTGCTCGGAGCTCTCCTGGACACTGACCGCCACGGCCAGCCATCTCCTTGCCGAAACCCGGGAAAAAGCCAAGACCTGGCTCGTGTAAGCCAGGCGGCTTCTCCCGACGCCCCTCTTCCGTTTAGCATTTTAATTGTATTCTCTTAAACTCACTATGTTTCCAACAAATCCACACCAACACACAAGTCAACAGAGAACAGGAGCAAAAGCGAATTGTAATTCCCATGTAGGAGTTAGAAATCTCCCAGTTTACTTGGCTGAATGGGTCTCTGCTTTTCTCTGAGTTTGTGGTGACAGATCAAACCAGGGGACGGAGTGGGAGTTGGAAACCCCCCGGGTCGCTTTGCTCAGAGGCCCGGGACGCGCTGTTCCCAATGTCTCGCCGGGACGCGCGGCTCTGGTTGCGGGGGACCGTGGAGCAAAGCCGGGAGGAAGCTCAGGCTGAGCCTCTGAGCCTTGGCCCGCCGCGCCGGGTTTCCAGGTTCTGGCGGGAGCCGAGCCGGAGAGCGGCGAACGGTTCGGGCTACCAGCGGGCCCAAGAGGCCTGGCTCCCGCGAAGCGCGGCCCGGCACCTAGAGCCCCGCCGCGACTCCAGCTTGCGCCAAGCTGCCGGGCTTGAACTCAGCGGCGGCCCTGCTGCGACCGTCTGGGCTCTCCGCCGCTGTTTGTTTACGCGCGGAGGGACTGGACTTTGCCAACCGCCAGCCTGTGCGCGGGTCTTTTTGCGGTGCAAGAGAGGCGACCATAGGAGAGAAAAGCAGAGTACGGGGTGCATTTATATGGAACTCTAATTCGAATTTGACTGTTCTCTGAATCTAATAGGAAAATAAGTGTCTCCCTCCCTCTTCCCGTCGCCGCCTTGCCGCTTCTTGGCAGCGCTTTCTTCTTCTGGGACAACGCTGGGCGTGAGGATAGGGGTGGAGGCAGTTTGGGCCCCTCGCTCTCTCAGTCTAACCAGTGTATTTCCTCCCTGACTGTTCACTGGTGCTCCGCGCTCTCTCCTCCTGCCTTCTTGCCTGCTTAATCGGCTTTATGCCTCTTTCTTTTTGACTGTCTCTCTTCTTTTTCCCCTTCCTCTTCTCCCACTTCCTCCACTTTCTACTTTTCTTTCTCTATCGTCCTTCTCCCGGCCTCTGTCTTCCCCTGCGCCTCGCCAACCCGCCCCCCTGCAGGTGTTTCGGTACCAAATGCGCGGGCTGCGCGCAGGGCATCTCCCCCAGCGACCTGGTGCGGAGAGCGCGGAGCAAAGTGTTTCACCTAAACTGCTTCACCTGCATGATGTGTAACAAGCAGCTCTCCACTGGCGAGGAGCTCTACATCATCGACGAGAACAAGTTCGTCTGCAAAGAGGATTACCTAAGCAACAGCAGTGTCGCCAAAGAGAACAGCCTCCACTCGGGTGAGGCCCCAATTCCCGGCTCGCTAGGGGCGGGCGGGACCTGGGGGAGGAAAGCTCGCCAACGCCGCTGCTCACCTGTCCCTTCCCTCTCCCCAGCCACCACGGGCAGTGACCCCAGTTTGTCTCCAGACTCCCAAGACCCGTCGCAGGATGACGCCAAGGACTCGGAGAGCGCTAACGTATCGGACAAGGAAGGGGGCAGCAATGAGAATGACGACCAGAACCTGGGCGCCAAGCGGCGGGGGCCGCGCACGACCATCAAAGCCAAGCAGCTGGAGACGCTGAAGGCCGCCTTCGCAGCTACGCCCAAGCCCACGCGCCACATCCGCGAGCAGCTGGCTCAGGAGACTGGCCTCAACATGCGCGTCATCCAGGTCAGGACCCGGGCGTGCCACCCAGTTCCCACGAGGCTTACATGGCTCCCCTAGGCGGGCACCCAGGCCGAGCCCGGGGGCCCAGCTTCGAGGAAGGGAGCGAGTCCCAGGAGGCCAGCGAACGGCGAGAGGAGAGGTCCAGACACACCCCTGTCCCAGGCGACCTTTGAAGCGCTGATATGTAGTGTTTCTAGAAATCCTTGTGGCTCCTCTTCTTGGTCCAACGCAGGTGATAGTGATGGGGGAGGGGGAGGGAGGGGGAGCTCAGCATGAGGCTGGAGGAGGGGACACTGTCGGACCCCGCGGTCAAAGTTGGGACCCTTTTTCTGCACCACCCACCCCTGTTCGGAAGGAGCCGAGAGGTCACTGTGCATCCGGGGGTTAATCAGTTCCGCTAGCTTCTCTGCACAACGTGATCTCCCTCTGCTTCCCCAACCCCAAGTTTGTGGGTCTCTTGTCCCAGTTAGACAAGCCCCAGAGCAGAGACTTTGCCTCCGAAGAGAGGTGGGGCGTCCTGGTTTGAAGGAGAAGTGGTCGGGGCGGGAGTCAGCCCTGCCTCGGCGGTCCCTAATGGGACGGGGAGCGAGGCGGCCATCTGGGCGCCTGTGCTGGTGCGTTGTGAGAACTTCAGATTGCGTGTGATTCGGACCCCGAGTCTCCGGCCAAAGGTTAGGTGTGCGGTTCACCGTGCCTGGAGATTCTGTGAGAGTGTGGGTGGATGTGCCTGGGAGGTTGTGTGCGTGGACACACATGTGCAGGCTGCCCTCCGCGGAAGTCCCTGCCGCCTCTGGGAGACTGTGTCAACGTTTGCGCACGTGAATGGGAGGTTGCATGTCTGTGCCACTCTCAGTGAGAGGCTGTGGATAAGTGTGTTTGGCACTGGGAGATTGTGTGTGGGTGTGAGAAAGATTGTGGGTTTTTTGTGTCACTATGGGTGGGAGACTGAGTGTCAACAGGAGGCTGTTTGGGTCTCTGTCACTATCATGAGGGGAACGGGGCTGCCAGGAATGTGAAAAGGGAAGCTTTGTGTGTCTGACACTATTTGGGGAGGTTGAATGTATATGTGTGTACAGCCCCAGAGAAGCTGTAACTGTGACAGTGTGACTGTTAGAAACAACTCCAACTGCCTCACGTCGAGCAGGGCGGCTTGCCCAGGTCCCCCTGTAGGGAATCCTGTTCACCATTGGCTCAGGGGCAGCCCTGCGCTGTCCTACTCAGAGCACCTCCCCACCACACACACACACACACACACACACACACGCACATACTCTGGGAGCCCGGAATAGGTGAGCTAGGCGGTGGAGGAGTAAGGGGCCAGGCCCGGCACACCCGAAGTAGGGGGTGCGGTCTCGGTGGCCTCACCCCGCGGCGTGTCTGCTTCAGGTCTGGTTCCAGAACCGTCGCTCCAAGGAACGGAGGATGAAGCAGCTGAGCGCGCTGGGCGCCCGGCGCCACGCCTTCTTCCGCAGTCCGCGCCGGATGCGGCCGCTCGTGGACCGCTTGGAGCCGGGCGAGCTGATCCCCAACGGGCCCTTCTCCTTCTACGGAGGTGGGTGTGCTGCCGAGTGGCCTGGCGGGGTTGGCTTCGTTGGAAGCGGGTAGCAGCGCAGGAGGCGCTTTGGCTTTCTATAGAGAAGCGGAGAGTGGGGGAGATATGGGGGGAGGATGAGGAGTAAATCTAGGGGAGGTAGTGAGACCGAGGGCCAAATTCCCGAGCCTGAATGAGGCGGGTGGGCAGGTAGGGAGCAGCTCCTGTGTTTGCACCAAGCCTCGTCCCTGCTCCCAGGCCCACAGGGAGCCCCCAAAATGGCGAGTTCCCCGCGTTGCCTTCCCGCCCCACCCAGGGCCCCGCCCTGACATCCTCCTTCCTGCCGCTCCGCAGATTACCAGAGCGAGTACTACGGGCCCGGGGGCAACTACGACTTCTTCCCGCAAGGCCCGCCATCCTCGCAGGCTCAGACGCCGGTGGACCTGCCCTTTGTCCCGTCATCCGGGCCGTCCGGGACGCCCCTGGGCGGCCTGGAGCACCCGCTGCCCGGCCACCACCCATCGAGCGAGGCGCAGCGGTTCACCGACATCCTGGCGCATCCCCCCGGGGACTCGCCCAGTCCGGAGCCCAGCCTACCGGGGCCTCTACACTCAATGTCGGCTGAGGTCTTCGGGCCCAGCCCGCCTTTCTCGTCGCTGTCCGTCAATGGCGGGGCGAGCTACGGGAACCACCTGTCTCACCCCCCTGAAATGAACGAGGCGGCCGTGTGGTAGCGGGGTCTGGCACGGTCCGCAGAGTTCGTGGTTGTACAGAAATGAACCTTTATTTAAGACAAATAGAAAAAAGAAAAAAAAACTTAAAAAGCAAATACCCCCCCGCCCCCACTTCCTCCAGCCTCGGGGACCATTTTCCGTCTGGGGAGACCAGATGGGAAAGGGGGACACGAAATAGGATCCAAATCCGCCTGGAGGTAGGACTGGGATCCGCGAGCTGGCTGGCAAGGTGCAAAACTGGGGCTCCGGAAGGGAAATGCAGACCTTTCCCCACCTCCCACCTGGATCTGGATCCGCGGACAGACTCCTCGGGTGTGCGCGCCTGGTCAGCGGGCGTCAAAGAAACACCCAAGGCGGCCGCGGGGGCGCACAGCCAATGGTGACGCCAGGAGCCGCGGGGAGAGAGGCCGAGAGGCGCAGCCGGGTGAGGGAGGTGAAAGTCGCCAGGGCGCTTCCTGGCCAGCCAGGCGGGTTCTGGCTCTGGGAAATCTCTTATTAGTGTTGTCTCAGAGTTCAGCAACAGCGACAACAAACTCGTATAGCTTCAGAAACGCCGACCTGCTGCGCATCAGGTGGGACTATATATATATATTTTGTCTGAGTTTTTTGTTTTTTGTTTTTGCCAAATTGCAAAATTCTAAATGTAAAGCCCTCAGTATCAACTCTTCTACCTTCACAAAGCTCAACACACACGCAGATACACACACAGACACACTCCATAGGATGGTCTCAAGCCAGACCTCTCAGTAAAATGACTTGAACATCAGCTGTACAAGAAAAGTATTCTACCTTCACACACAAAATGTTAAAAAAAAAAAAAGACTATTGAACTAAAAACAGTCAACTGTTTACGTATAATGTTAAATTCAGGAGTTCAGTGTTTTACTAATATATCCTATTTTGAAACCTCTTGTTCAAAAACAAAATGTTTTGAGCAATCAACCAAAATTGTTCATTTTCTTTTCCTGTAGATGTTCTGACAGATTTGCAGGGCTCGCAGCTCACTGTGCTAGTATGTAAAAAGGTGTTGTTTACACAAGGCAGAGAGAAAACACGATATTCAGACACTTGCCAAATAGAATAATTATAGCACAAATACTGTAAAGGTGCCTGGCACCACAACCTGAGAAAGTGTTTTAAAAAAAAAAAAGTGTTACAAGGTTTAAAAAAAACATCTTTGCTAATTTTTAGTCCTGTTGAACATTCATGGAATTGTTAATATGACTTATATAGACCCACACAGGTTTTATTTTTGTGTCTTTAAAATAAAAGTCCAAAATATTTAAATTTTATGGTCAAATATGCAGTCAACAGCTGCTACTTTTTTCTTTATATATTAAATTTCTCATATGTCTTTTATTGTTCTGATAAACCTAAGCTTGTGTGACCTCCAGTGCATATTAGACCATTCACTGTATGAAAGAAAACATGTTGAATAAATTTGTGAGTTTTTAATAAAAATAGAAAATCTGATGTTTAGATAATTGGTGTGTTATTTGATGCTTTAACAACTGGAGGGGAGGCCTGATGCGGAGCTGAAGGACCCCTCAGAAGCCAGAAAGAGAGGCAGGACTAGGGTCTGTTTTTACCTTGGCTATAGCTGACCCCCTTTGCTAAAACCAGCCAAGCTTTTCTCCCTGGCTTCCTGCTGTTATTAACTACAGATTTGCATTCTGTGGATTTAACTGATACAGTTGAAGAGATATTTGCTGATAAGTTAATATAGAATTTGAAATAGAAATCAAATCCATGGCTAAAAATGAGTAGTCGCAGTCTCTGATTAGACATGAGATCCCACGCACTCTCTCTCCAGCTCCCTGTACATGCAAAACTGGACTTGTGAATGTCAGTTACCTGTAAATACATAGTTAGAGGTGGTCCTTTTCAGTTTCAATTCACTTCCCATAGATAATCCTGCTTTCTAATTTAGTGGTTTGAAAGATAACGTAAAATGAATGTACAGTACAGCTAGAAATGAAATACTTTAATCCCTTTCACAGAACTGATATGAAATAGTTGTTTTATGGTATGTGTTACATTTGAAGCTCCCCAGAAGGAAAACTATTTTGCCTGGATCAAGGTATATATTACGTTTCTCTGAAAGATGAGCAAAAATAACCAATATAGAAATCAAATTTCAACTGAGAGTTGCCAATAGGTTCTGAAAACTACTTCAGTCTTTTCCAAGCCTTCGTTAAACATGGAAGGAATTTAAATATTTTATCTACTATGAAAAGCATGTGTGTGTGTTTTAATATCAGATGCTATTAGAGTTGCAGAATTTCTTTTCCATATCACCTAGATTTCAGTCTGGATTATTTATTTCCTTATTTAAAAAACCAAAGGTTCTACATTAAATGGTATGTAATTTCTAGTGTTGTTTTCATATTTTAAGACACAACCAAGTGTATCGTTCCTGCAGAGAAAGCTTTAAAATAAGCAATATTTCACTGCATCCATATGACGGCTTATCTAATGGGGAGGATTATCAGGGAGGAACCTGACAGTGTTCTTTCAGAAATCCAAATTTATGAAATAGAGGGGAGACTTTTAAAACTCCTAGCCTTGCATGCAGCACATTTCTTTATCTGCTTTGTATGCAATCAGCGGATCGGCTTGTTTTTGCCCTTTTCATGTTTATATACATTGAATCATAGCCAACTTATTCATTATAGCCACCTCCTTTAAAGACATTCATTTAACTGAACATACGCTCATTGGGAAGCTGCATTTTCCTATCAAGCCTGCTGAATTATTTAGCAGCTTTATTGTGGAATTGGGTACTTGATAAGAAGCATTTTAGAGTTGGGCGCTCAGTGTGGACTTAATTCTTCTCTCTGGCTCCGTGGCAGCAGCGCGGTCTCTCCCCCTTGGTGCTGTATCCTGAACCCTAACGAATACCTGAATAGGTGGCAAAGCTTAGCAGTCCAATTTGGAGCAGCCAAGAGGAGGAGATCTAGAATTGTCAGGGACTGTTCTCCATCCCGGGAGAGCCCCACTGCCCACCTCTGGCCCTGAGGTGCAGAGAAGTGCTGCACCATCCCCATGAGGCCTGGCTGGGAGCTCCTGGGAGAGGCTCCAGGGCAGGAGGAGACTGCCATGGCCCCCTCCCACCCAGGAGGGCAGTCTCCTCTCTGGCCAGCTTGGCAGCCTCCCCACAGCCATCTTAAAGCCACCACCTCTGTGCTTCTCGCCACCTTCCCTGAGGGTTCCAGCAGCAGGGAGCCGCCATCTGCCCTGGGAGAGGGAGGTGAAGTTCACCCACCCAACTTCTCCAGACTGGAGGATGCTGGGGGGAGCTGCTTCAGGGTAAGACAAGGTGAGGGAGCACTATGCTTGGAGAGCCAGACAAACATTGGCAGGGGCCTGGGACCTGGGGTTTGATGGCACCTGAGAGGAGAGGCAGGTAAGAACCTGGTTTTCCTAAGCTCTTGAAACTCCCAGTCATGTGAACAGACAGTTGATTGGGACAATGAGGAGGGGTATCCAAAGTCACCCCTGCCCATCCTCTGCTAGTCCTAGATCTGTCTGCCACTTTGCAGCCCTTGGGCAGCAGGCAGAGGAACTGTGAATGGGGAGACCCTCTGACCTTCTCTGGAGAGGGCTGTTCTTTTGGGAGAGTGCTCCACTTTATACTCATTCCCCTTCTCATCTGCTGCCATCTCTAGAGCCCTCAGATGTTTAAATTTTTTCTAGGAGGTATAGTCTTGAAATATCCCCTCCCACGGTCCACCCTCCATCTCCATCCCCATCTCCACCAGGAAACCCCTCCTCCCTTCTCAAGAAACTAGAATGCAAGTAAAGAGGGCCCCCCAGAGAGAGCATTTAAGAGGTTGCTCTCCTGCCCCACCCTCAACTTTTTCAGTTGCATCTTAAGTCCTAGAATTCTTTCTTCTTTCCTCCACTCCTGGAGTCCCCTCCTTGCTCTCAGTATAGAGTAAGAAAGCAGGGAAAGCATTTTGGGGTGTGTGTGTGACAGGAGTAGAGAGGCCTTGGTTTCTTCCTCCAAAGGCTTCCCAAGTCAGTGGGGACCAGGACAGAGAAGGAAGAGTAGGTAAGCAGGCATAGGGCATTTTCTGCCCAGAATTATCCAGCAGTATCCAATTTTCATGACAGCTTAGAAATAGTTTCTGACCTGCCTGCTTCCCTCTTCCTTTTCTCCCTTTTCTTTACCCCAAGGCCAGGTTTCTAAGCATCAGTAGTGTCCAAAATAGGAAGGGAAGAGGATTGGGGGAAGCAGTTTCCTAAATGTCGGGTGAGAGAAACATTTTTGTCCTTTGAAGCCCAGGGCAATGGCCCCGTCGAATCCTGTGGAGCATGCTTTTGCTCTGGAGTCCCCGGCGCCGACCCCAGACTGCAATTACCAGGAATATGTTTAAAAAAAAAAAAAAGGCTGTTTCCTTGCAGATGGTAAAAAGCAGGGATTTTTTTTTTTTTTTTTGCCTCAGTACCCTGCCTAGGGCGCCTACCCTAGCCTGGCATTCTTTCCCTTCCATGTCTGAAGGCGGCTACCCTAAGACAGGTTCTTCTTTCCCTCTGCAGCCACCTAGGAAGGGGACATGGGACAAGCCACACTAACGTGGTCGTCTCTCATTGCTCTTGACGCTGAGGGTATATGATAACTGTGAAAGCCAGGGACCCTCACTTTCCCCAGGTTCCACAGGAGACACTGGGGAGCTGAGGGTTCCCCAGGCTGTTCAGCTGTGGGATCCAATTGGCCTGGGCTGTACCCAAGAAAGTCACAGGGTACCCTTAATGTCCGTGTTCTGGATCCTTTTGAGGCAGTTTCTGGTTAGGGGGTTCCAAATCTCTACAGGTGACCTCAAACAGACACTGGAAGGATAGACTACTTTGTACTCACCCTTATCATCCCTTACTGCAGTTTCTGTTTACATGTCTGTCTGCCCCTCTAGGCTGATCACCGTCAGGAGAGAATCTAACTTACTCATCTTTGTATCTCTTGTAGCAGTGCCTGCCACATAGTGGGCAGTCAGGGAATGCTTCATGAAGCAAAGAGAATATAAAGCGATTGTATCTCTCCATGTGCCTGGGTGCAATTAAATTGATCATATCATCTTTATATTTAGAGTCTACCTGTGCCTCACTAACAGCAGACCTGACTTTTTCTGCATTTGTGTATCAGTTTCAAGTGTCTAGTATGCCCTCATCTTTGAACAGCAAGGATATCAACACCGATGGGTGTGCAGTAGAGTAATCCCCACTCCACTCCCTTTTTCCCTGCTCAGACAAGGCAACTTGGAGAAGGTACAGAATCAATCTTTACTTATGCACAGCCATAGCGACCTCTAATTATTCCCGTTGATAAAGATGCCAGCAGTCCGCTGCACACTTAAATTTACGCACATACCTGACGTAGGATTCCCAAACCCTGGCCGCCGCGGGGTACCTGCCCCAGACTCCTCCAAATTGTGAAATGCCAAACCTGTTTTTGGTCCCAGTCTGTGCGTGCCCGAAAGCGCACCTGAGGCTCGAGACGCTTACCCTATACTCGCTTCTCCTTTCCAAATCAGCCACCATGGGTCACGGCTACACTACACTTTATTTCTAAGCAAATCTCGGGGAAATCTTGAAGTATAGTTTAAGCAAGGGGACACAGGCCGCGCGCAACACAATCTCTGCTCAGCGCCAGAGGCAGCCACGTGCCCTTGCGCGCTCCCGCGCCACCCAACACACCCCCTCGGCGCACGGCGACGATCTCTCTTCAGCCTTCCGGGCGCTTCCGCCTTCATCCTAGCAACGCCCGCAGTGACGCGGCAGGCCCCGCCCCTCCCGCGCGCCTCCCGGAAGTTGCCGGCCCGGAGCTGGGCGCAGGGCTCCGTGCGGTACCGCTGTCTGGGGAGTAGTCTCCCGGCGAGAGGACTCGGCGGGGAGAGAGCATCCGGGCCGCGGCCGGGGCCGGGGCCGCACATTCACGTGCGCGGCGCGGAGCGAGACCTGGTGACCATGGCGGGGCCGCAGCCCCTGGCGCTGCAGCTGGAACAGTTGTTGAACCCGCGACCGCGCGAGGCGGATCCTGAGGCCGACCCGGAGGAGGGTGAGGCCTGACTGGGGCAAGGCCACGTGCGGACCCCGGCGGGATGTGACGGGCCGGCAGCTGGGCCGCGCAGCCTGGCCTACTGCTCACCCTTGCGCGGAGGAAAACTGCCTCCCGGGAGGGCCGCCCCCGGGCTCGGGAGGAGGGCTTCGGCGTCTTTCTGACACGCACTCTAGAGTTGGTGCTCGGGTGGGCGGAGCATCCCGAGGACTCTGGCGAGGAGCTCGTCCTCGGGGTAGCTGTTGGTCCAGGGCCCTTGCAGGCAGCCGGTCTGGTAGCAGGCTGGAAGTTATCTTTTAGGATGCCCTTACTGGTATTGCGTTAGACACGAGGAGGAAGTCTCATCCGTTTTTAAACTCTGCCTGCCCCTAAGAGCTTACTTGGAGAATGAGGGAAGAAGTAGGCTTCCGTGGTGCTGTTGAAGCCTCTTTAGGCCTCAAGACACTTGCTCAGGGGCTGACGAATGAGACTGCTGTTCTGTAAGCTGATGTTCAAGGTCTAGTTGGGAGTAATCCTGCTTTAGACTTGAGTCAGGAAGTGTGAGGAAGGGAGAATAGGAGGGATAAACGTGAGTTGTGGACCGTGTCTTAGGAATATCAGTTGAAGGAACTAGGGCTATTTAGCTAGGATAAGCGAAGAAAACTCCCTGAGAGGTGGGATAGAGTGAGGATAGAATAGGATGATGGCTGACTAACAGTATTTGAGCGACTGTCACACATGGAAGAGGACTTAGCCTGGTTTTATACGATCCAAGGCATAGAAATATAGCCTACTAGTAGTCGCAGAGAGTCAGCTTTCTCTTCAGGAACGGCAGCAAGGTAGTACGTGGTCTCCCTTGGGAGGTAATGAGTTCCCTGTTGCTGGAAGTTGTTGGGGATTTTGCAGAGGACGTTCATGTGTGAGTTGAAAGGATTTAACAGGGTTGTCATTAAAGTTTCTTCTAACCTAGAGATTCTGATTACTTTCCCCCCTTCCCCACAGCCACTGCTGCCAGAGTGATTGACAGGTTTGATGAAGGGGAAGATGGGGAAGGTGATTTCCTGGCAGTGGGTAGCATTAGAAAACTGGCATCAGCCTCCCTCTTGGACACAGACAAAAGGTATTCTGGCAAGACCACCTCTAGAAAAGCTTGGAAGGAAGACCACTGGGAGCACACTCTGCCGGGTTCGTCTGGTGAGTAGGCATGTTTGCATGGTCCTCTTTCTTCCCTAATTTTTTAGGGCTAAAATCCTTTTTTTCTGATGATCTCTGCAGAACTAGTCTGTGTGTCCCCACCTCTTATCTTCGGAGAGACCATTGATTTGGCATTAGAAAGGGCTTTAGAGGTACTTAATTTTGCTTCATAAGGAATCTAAAGCCCAGAGAGATTAAGTTGCTATGCTCCTTATGTTAGATGGTTCACCCTAAAATGGAGTCAGAGAAAAGGCAGTGCATATCAGATACTGGAGAAACCTATGTGTTGAAAAAGCACTGTGTCTGATGAGCATGCTACTCATAGATTTTGACTCTTTTCCTTCAGTTTTCCAAGTCTTGCATTGAGTTACTGTGTAATATTAATTTGCGAAACTAATTTTTTGCCATTATAAATGTAACATAATTATTCCCTCTTCCCTGCAAGAGAGTTAGGAGGATGTGAGCTTATAGTTTTAAAGCATTATAAGTTTCTCAGAGTGGAAGAAGGAGCTGGATATGGTGATTATTGAGTGGATGCCATCTGTTTTCCTTTAGAGAGGTTAGAGGTGCTGTGTTGAGAATCCACAGATGATATAAAAGAAACTATCATTCAGATTATGATCTCCATGATTTAGTCCTTAATATAGTGCTGGGGGCTTCTGATAAGCTCATTTCATATTCTTTGCCTAGCGACTGATAGAGACCAATCATGAGACAAATATTATGATATTTATTGAACTCTCACCATGTGTCAGGCACTGTGGTAAGGTCTTTAAATTAAATTCTAAGAGCCTGGGACACAGTAAGTCATCAAAAAATGTTATCACCATTGTCATTAGGTGTATCATCTCATTTAATCCTCCCAATAGCCCTATGAGGTTGGTACCGTTTATTCCCATTTTACAGTTAAGGAAATTGAGGGGCAGATTGGTTAAGTAACTTGCTCAAGGTCATACAACTAGTAAGTGGGAAGAGCCAGGACTCAAATAAGGCAGTCTGACTCTAAGATCTGTACTCTTAACTACTACTCTGTATGAATGTTTTTTAATATGAGAAATGGCATACTTTTAAAGAAAGGATTATTTTATGTTTACCGTTTTTGCACTTCATTTTTGTGTTTATGTTTTTGACAGCCTTCTGTCTTGAGTTTATGTATAGTTCTCTAAAAAAATACTGAAGACCTATGACGTTTTCATAATATCTTTTATTGAAGAAAATTATTGGTAATTGATCCCTGTATCTAATAATTGTGCTTGCTGTACATGAGACCTTTATATTCTACCATGGAACAGATTGAATAATCAGTAAAAACCTGTAAGTATCAGGTGATACCCTAAGCATAAGTAAAACCAGGAGCCTAACCAACTAACATTCCATTTACTTTAGGATCAAATGCAAACTTCTTCCTGATTTGCTCCTTGAGCACGTCTCTAGGCTCAGTTCCCACCATTCTGCGCTCCAGTGCACTTTTCTGGTGCTGGACCTTTGCATATGCTGTTTTCTCTTTTCCTTCCCCCTTCTCTGTCTGGTCAGCTATTACTTATGCTTAATAAGTAAAATTATAATGTCTCCTACACGGGAAACCATCCCTCACCCTTCTAGGTGAGTTAGATGGTTCCTTCCCTATACGTGGTGTACTGATGACAGTGTAACATAATCATTGGTATGCATATCTCCCATTCCCATCAGACTATGAAGCCTTCCCCACAGGTATTACATTCTATTTGTCATTCCTAAACTTTTATCTATGCTTGGCTCATAATAGGTGCTTAATGAGTATTTAATAAATATGGCACACTGGTGTGATAGAGATTGTGCGTTTGGGGTAGTTAATGATAAACTATATTTTTTCAGATGCAGGTTTGAGAAAACTAGTAATTCCCTCACACCAGTTGAAATCTTACTGTTCTTCAAGGTCCAGACCAAAAGTTGCCTCTTCCTTATAGTCTTGCATAAATCCACTTGCCCTACAGTAAAAATTTCTCCCTCCTCTGGGTTATCAAAACTTTGTCAAGGCACTTTTAATTCTTCTCTATGTTATAGTTTTTATGGTTCTGTCTTTCCCACTAGAAGCTTATGTTAGGATAGGACCTATGTTTTATTCATCTTTATTTCTCTTTTAGCATTTTAGATATAGTAGATGTGTGATAAATATTTGTTGACTTGAATTGAGTACAATAGTATATATATATATTTTTTGATAGATGCCAAAGTCTTTTAGTTGAAATGAAAGATATGGCCCGGTATTTTTCTCAAAGTAACATTCAGTTTTTCCTTCTTCCTTTTGTTTAGATAAGGAAATATCTGATGAGGAAGAGTCTGGAGGTGGAGATTCAGAGGGGCTGGGTCTGGAGGAATCTGATGAGGATGCCGTGAGTACTGCTGAGGAACAGGAGTGTGGTGATGATGGGGACAGTAGTCTGGCCTGGAGGAAGAATAGAAGCTGCTCTGGGAAAATGCCAGGCTTCAGTGTCCAGAGCATCAGTGACTTTGAAAAATTTACTGAGGGAATGGATGACCTTGGTAGCAGTGAGGAGGAGGAAGATGAAGAGGAGAGTGGCATGGAAGAAGGGGATGGTGAGGAAGACTTCGAGGGTGAGAGTGAGGAAGACAGGGCTGAAGACAGGAACAGTGAAGATGATGGCGTGGTGATGACCTTCTCCAGTGTCAAAGTTTCTGAGGAAGTGGAGAAAGGCAGAGCTGTGAAGAACCAGATAGGTTTGTACATGGTTCACTGTTTGCTTCTTTTTTGGAGTGTCTGCGTTTGATCTCCTTTTTGTTTGTTTGTTTTTGGCTGTTTGCTCTCTCCTGTGTCCTTCCAATTAGTTTGTGACATGCCCCACTTACCTAGAGGCCTAAAGCCCCAACCCTCTATGCTTAGCCAGCCATTTCTACACTGAGCTGCTTAGTTCTGCTCTAGTACTTCTGGAAGATTGAAGAGTGTCTTCTCCTCTCATTGGGCTTTAGCATTCTCTCTCTCATGTAGCAAATATTTGCTTCTAAGATACTGAATTTATTTTCTATAATAGAGAGTTTCCATAGCATGAAACTGTGATAAAGCTGTGCTGCTTAGAGACTGGTATGATTTCTTGTCCCTCCCCCACTCCCCACCCCAGAAAGGTTTTATAACTGAGAAATGGAATTCTCCTTTTTTCTTTCTCAGCGCTGTGGGACCAGCTCTTGGAAGGAAGGATCAAACTACAAAAAGCTTTGTTAACCACCAATCAGCTTCCTCAACCAGATGTTTTCCCTATTTTCAAGGACAAAGGTGGCCCAGAATTTGCCAGTGCCCTAAAAAACAGTAAGAATACTTATGCCATATTGGGATACTTAGAGCCACTGGGGTACGTTCGAATACACTGGGATTGTATTTGCAGCACCACTGAGTTGAAGGAGAGAAGATTTGGTTTTAGTTGATAATATGGTATAAAATAGTGGGGGGTTTTTTTTTGTGAGGAAGATCGGCCCTGAGCTAACATCTGCCAATCCTCCTCTTTTTTTGCTGAGGAAGACTGGCCCTGGGCTAACATCCATGCCCATCTTCCTCCACGTTACGTGGGACGCCACCACAGCATGGCTTGACAAGCGGTGCCTCGATGCGCGCCCCGGATCCGAACCAGCGAACCCCAGGCTGCTGCAGCAGAGCGCATGCACTTAACTGCTTGCGCCACTGGGCCGGCCCCAAAATAGTGGTTTTTAACTTTAAAAAAAATAGCAATATAACTCTTTTATCAAATGAAGACAACTTTGATTGAAATGGGTTGGGTGCTTGAGTCGTGTCTATTCCACTTTTTTCTCACCTGCCCTCATTACTTCTCCCTCTCCCCTTTATGTTTCTTTATGAAAAAAGAAAGTTATTTCTTTAATGCTCAGAGAACACTATTGGAAAACCCACTGGTATCAAACAAAAGAGAAAGAATGAATGACTAAACTCAGTTCATTTAAGTTGGTTGTATCACATGCTTAAAAGGTGCCTGTCTTTGTTGGGAGGTTTCTAGCATGACATGCTAAGATGATCTTGATCATATCTTCCTTTTGGTTGCATATAGTGAGAAAAGATGGTGACTGCAGAGGGAGAGCAAGTTTTGGAAGAGAATTTTAGAAGAGAAAAGGACTTTAGAAATTATTTGGTTCCCAATCCCCTCATTTTACAGATGAGAGAACCGAGGTCCAGAGAGAATGAGTTGCCCAAAGTCGCAGAGACGTTGGCGTACATTTCAGAGAGCAAACTCTAGCTTTTCTGCCTTACAATCCAGGAGTCTTCTCTGCACCATGCTACTTCCTGTGTGCTGTGTCCCTGTGTGCCCAGTGGCACCAAAGGACTGGGGCAGAGGGAGATTTGGGGTGAGTGCACTATGGTTGGAATCATTATTCCTTATTTGCATGCTGAGACTTAGTGTTTCCGTTTGCTCTTTAAAACTTATTTTTATAAGTTTTTTTTTATGAGTTGGAAGGGACCCAAGGAGGACATCTGATTTGGTGTCTGCCTCTGGGTAGAATCACTTTAAACCATTCAAAATAAATGTGTAGATTTCTAGGGTAGGGAATTCAGTGAACCTTTCTTGTAGAAGAATACCTGGTTTAATGAGGAATTATTTCCCAGGGGCCAGTCTTTAGAATTTTGTCCTACCATGCTTGAAGTCTGTTTCTGATGTGAAATGCCTGGACAATCCTTCAGAAAAGCTGCAGATACTGGGAGGATGGGTCTTTTATATCTGCTCCCCCAGTTTTTCCCCTTCCTCCCTTAAATAAATGATAGATAGGCAGTTTTCAACATTTTTGAGATTTTTGGAGCACTTTGCTATTTTTAATGCCCTAGTGCCCTAATTCCTGGTATGGCTTTGGAATGAGACCTAGACTGCTCTAGATTAAATGTCTGAAATGTTTCAGGATGATACAGCCTTTTTTATTTTGTTACTCATTACTCTTCTTGCTTGAGCCTTTCCATTGTTCTTTTTTTGTTTTTTTGATTCATCTTAAAATATTGATATTTTAAGGTTTAGTCAGTGTCAAGTATAGTGGACACATTCTTATTCTTTGATACAATTTAGTGTCTTTAGCTATTTTAATGTTACTTAAGTTTTATTTTGCCACAGTTCTGATCTTTTTAATCTGTCTTTTTCATACTTAATCAGTTGCTTCTTTGCCTCATTGGTGAATTCCAGTTAATCTGACAGATGTCTATTAATCTGAGAGGGTGGGATGCTGTGGAGGAGGGAGAAGAAAGGAACGTTTATTTGTTATCACATATTCTAAGATGGGAAGGTGGAGAGTTTTCTAGTAACTAGAATCTCTGCATATCTGAAAGGTAGCTAATTTTTGTTTCCAACCTTCTTATGACAATATGATATAATATGTTGTATATCTCCCTGTCTTGGTAAACAGAATTTAAGGAAAATTTCTTGGTTACATTAGTCTGGATGAACAGTTTATACTGTACTACGTAGCTGGTGTGGAGTATAGGCTGAATTTGTACTGACCCCAGAACAAACTCTGGAACTTACTGTCTTTAATTAAATCTCTGTTCAGTTTGCTTGGTCTTACAGTAGTTAGAATGCCTGAGTTTAGGTTCCATCTCAGCAGTGGATTCAGTGTGTCACCTTGGGCAAGTTACTTAACTTCACAGTAAATGGGGATGATATGGTTGTGAGGATTAAAGGACGTAATTGATATAAGGCATTAGCACAGTGTCTGACACACAGCACACCACAAATGTTAGGGACGGGTATTATCTTTTTCTGCTGAAAGAGGCACTTGGCAATGTTCAGCCATGTGAATGATGGTCATCAGTATAACTAACCATCATCCCCACTGTCTTCAGTGTGTTTTGACTTTTTATTAGTATTCACATTCCCTATATGATTAGGTTAATTGTTTGTTCTGGAGAGTGGGTAGTGGTATAGTCACTATAATACTTATAATTCAGCTTCTGCCTCTTATAACTATGGAAAGGTGACCGGAGATTTCCTTACTGCCCAACTCAGCTACTGCCTCCCTCAAGTGTTCAACCTTTCCTTGAAATATTTCCCTTTGGCTTTGGTGACACTGCATCTACTGTTTGGGTTCTCCTGCCTTTCAGATTCTTCTCATCTCAGACTCTTCTTTTATCCTCTCAATGTCAATTTCATTGCATTTAGGATCCTGTTCTCAGGTTGTGTTTTCTTGATATGTTCTCTCCTTGGCACTGTCATTTACTCTCGTAGTCCTAACAATAGCCTCTAAAACAGCCGATTTCAGCTATATTCCAGTGACGGTAAACTCCTGAGCAGCATGCCTTTGTACCTTCAGCACCCTAAACTCTACTTTTCAGAAACTAAACAAATATCTCCTTCCTTCCCCAACACACACATGCACTTAGTCCCCAGTCACCTTGGTGTTACGTGTTGGGAATGGTAACTCTTAAACTGTGAAGTAATTTCAATGACTTTTTTTTATGTTTTAGTAGCTGCATAAGTGGTAAGTCGCGAAGTAACCTTAGGAAAATTAAGGGATTTTCTATGCACAAAACCATTTCTTTAAAAAGGTTAGCTTTTTCTCTCTGATTTTCTTTTAAAAAATTCTACAGTTTTAGGAGGCGGGTCTTTTATATTGGTGGCAACGCTATATAAGGAAGAAGGCAAGTTACTTAAGGAAACCCCAGCATGAGTTATTTAAAACTTTTTCTTATGGAATGTATCAAACCTGTATAAAAGTAAAGAGAATTGTATAATGAACCCATATACCAATACCAGCTAAGCAATTATCAACTCATGGCCAATCTTATTTCATCTATACTTATACTAACTCTCCCCCTACTTCTGGATTATTTTGAAGCAAGTACAAGCATCCTGTCATTTTATCAGTAAATAGCATGTATCTCTAGAAGAAAAGAATTAAAAAAATCACAATACCGTTATCCCACGTAAGAATATTAACAATGATTTCTTAATAAGCATAACTGATTTGAATGGATGGGAGAATTGAGAGAGCATTTCTGTAACAGGCACTCTCTATTGTCTTTTTCAGTTTGCTCTATAGCTTTAAATGAAGTGATTAAAGGAAAGCCAAACTTCAGCCATAATAAGTTGACCTTTTAGTGAAATGCATGTTATTAAATGTATTTAATGAGATGCACTACAAACTGCAGTGAGCACCATGTTTCATTACAGATCTAAAATGCAATATCATTAAAGACCTTCAATAGAAACAATGGTTGACATTTTGATATTTCCCATAAGCAAAAAATCCAAGAACACAGTATAATGTAATACAAGTATAGAGGAAATGTTGAAATTTTTTACTTGCCTAAGAGTATAAGAACAAATTCCACTATTAATAAATTACATTTTGTTTGCTCCTCATGTTGCCACATGTAGTTCACATTCATCCTTTTATCTCTCTGTGGCCCTTCTCCCGGCCCCTCAACTGTTTTGGCTTGAATAGACTAAAATTTTAATTTCACCTCAGCACTAATAGACACCTTAAAGAATAACTTTTTAAATTTTGGGTAAGTCATGGGCACTCATGGAGTCTTGATACTTTATGTTTCTGTTTTGTTTTTTAAATTTTATTTATTTTTAAGTAGACAGTACATTCACATGGCTCAAAATCGAAAGATACTAACGACTATGTGGAGAAAATCCTCCTTCCCACCCATGTACCCCTACCACCCAGTTCCCTATCCCATAGGCAACCATTATTATCAGTGAAATCCCCCCCTTTTTAATTACTTAGTTGCCTTAGGTGACAAATCCATGAACATCTATTTCAGTGTTCTCTCAATTAACACTTTATGGGTTCATGGCAGAGTCCTCACAAATGATCTGTAGAACCCTGAAATATTCTTAATTACTAGGGATAGGTTTAAGTATTGCTTGGGACGAAGGCACTTGCAAGCTTCTCCAAGTGCAGCATTGTGTAGGACTGAGGACCCATATTACTGTGGACTCCACCTAGCCAAGACTATGTGAGTAAGATTGATCTTTCTGTTTCAGCCAATGGCTATCATTTTTTAAAATAGCTTTGCTGTTCTAATTATAAAATTATGTCATGCTTACTTGAAAAATTCAGAAAATACGTAAAAGCGTAAAGAAGAAAATAAGGATTACCTGTAATCCTACTGCCCAGAGGTAACCACAGTTGTCATTTTGATGAATATCCTTTCAGACTTTTTCTGTGCCTATACACACATGCGTGCACACACACACACCCTTTTAAAACAGAAATGGAATCTTATAAATATGTACTATTTTGTAAGCTTATTTTTTTTACTTAATATATCATTTTATGTCAGTATATTTAGATGTACATCAGCATTTTCAG